TATCATAAACCTGCAACTTATCAAGATTAAAGTACATTCCAATAATCCCTACAATGAAGAAGCAGATGTCCTAGCCAAAGAAGCTCTGAAACTCCTAGCAATAGAATGGAAAGAGCTAACCTCATATAAGATTATCCAAAAATTAGATGGCAAGAAAAGATACTGGATAATCCAATAAGATAGTTTATCAAAAAAGTAAACAATAAAATAACTGCCTTCCAGTGGACACAACAAAACAGAATAAAAAAAAGATAGAGTTATCAAATTATAAAACAGCAAGATCATACTTGGGACCTTGTATAGAAAAAAATGAAAGAAGGACACACCTGGAACATTTCCTTTAAACAATCATAGTGAAAAAGCTTTCTTATAAAACTAATAAATGATGAACTATCTCCTCTGAACAAGCTGGCAACTAGAAGGTCTGACCTTTACAAACAAGTGAAGTGTATTGCATGCAGCTAGCAAAGTGAACTTTTGAATATTTACTAGAGTGTCCAGTATATAAAAAACAATTACAGGAAATATGGAATAAAGAACAAGATGGGATCCTTAGAGATTTCAGAGAGTTTTTACAAGAGAGGAAAAAAGAGACAGAAGAAAAATATATAAGGTTGATTATCCATGATAATGAAGAAATGGCCAAGTTGAATAAATAGATCTTTAAACTAGTAGAATAGACTTCAAAAACCAGTTAGGATACTCTAAGCTTTTGTAAAGGGCTAGTAAGGAGAGACCTAATCCTAAAAATGGTAAATCCGAAATGTTATGAAAAAAGAATTGGTAATAAGACACGAAGATGAATGTCAAAAATACAAAAAAGAGTGTGCAACCAAATAAGGAAAAAAATTTGGAACAAAAGATATGAGAAGATAATCGAATGGGAATATTTACAGGGAATCCGTAGAATAGAAAAAATCAACTGACTCTCAGGCACACACAGCTTAAAATCATCAGTCCCTAAAAGTAAAGATCCTCTATTAGAGGAAGGAACTTAAGAAAATAAAAGCTTGAAAAAAATTCTACTTAAAGATGTTACTTATAGAATGAAGTGGTTGGATTTTAAGCTTGGTCAGAACAACGAATAGTGATCTGCAGTGATGATCTGTAGACAATAATGTTAAAGATTGGAAGGGTATTCATCAGAATCATTAATGGAGTGATAAATTACTTCTGAAGTTGCACTTAGAGTTTTGGTATATTAAGACAAAACAGCAATGAGTAAGTTAGATAAAGTCTTAGCTTTAGCAAATCATTTAAAATATACAGTATACAAATGTTTAATAAAGCACATATACCTATCTAGCCTACCTAGGATAAAAAATATATATATATATATTACTTTTTTTAAGATAATTTTTAATATTAAAAAAATCAAATTTGACAATTGACTAGCAAGGATATAAATTATTAAAAGGATATTTATTCAAAGCATTTATAAAACATTATATTATTTTCATAATCAAGATTAGAAATTTTGACTTAAGATACTATAAGTTTGTTAATAAAGAAATAACAATTTAGTTTAATTTAAATTCTATATATTGAATACAGTATATTTTATTTGAGTATATTTTGTATTTAGTAATATATTAATATAATAAATGTACACTATCAGTCTAACTTAATGGACTATTGCAAAAAAAAAAAAAGTATTTATATTATTACAAATAAATTGATAGTAGTTTGCTTTCTAATATTTCATTATATTTACTTTTTTAAATTTATTTACCATTAAACAATAGGGAACAGTTATGGATTCCAATTGTTCTTAAACATTAATCTTTTTATCAATGAAGATTCACTAGAACACTATATGATATAAATATTTAAAATTTTTTTTATTTTTACCGTATACGTATATTTAAATTTTACTAATATATCTAAATTTTTTGTAAAAATATATATACTGAAATTCTATTATTTTTTTTCCTTATAAAACAGCATCACTTATTAGAGAAATAATTACACTTTTCGTGAAAATCGCGTATTGATAAAATAAAGAATTGATTGTTATGGTCACAAGTCAAGTTATTTAATTGACATCAGCATGCGAGATTCAGTAAGACAAAATTAATGCAATACTTTTTCATGCAAGACAGATCTTTTCGACATTGTCTTAACCAACAAGACCATCAAACCGATTCGGTGATAACCATGTTTAAATGAGACAGCTTCCCCAACTATTGATCACATCCATTATAGCTAAGCGCGTTTGAACTTGGATTTTATGTCGGAAATTCTAACAGGAACTTCAGCCTTCATTAATCGATCAAAATAAAATAGACCAATCAGTCATCAAGGAAAAAAAAAAAAGGAAAGAAAAAACCAAAGGGTGCGATAGGATGTAAAAAGACATCAGATGAGAAAATCCTCAAACCTTTTCATCGTACTCTGCCCAATCACCTTCCGTCAAATCGATACTTTCAAAGATAGTTCCGCTATCGACGCCTTTAGCTTTGAATCCGGTCTAGGATGACGAACGAGAGAGGGAAGCAGTTGACTTGCAATAAGAAAAGAAGAGAGGCAAACAATAGATAACAATAGATAGACTTATAAAAAAAAGTTTACCATGGGATCGAAATCAGTAATCTCCAATCCTCTACACTCGATAACTGCAATTTGAGCGAATTTACCACTATTCTCGATGGTGTACGGCTTAACAGATGTCTGATCGATTTCTACAAGCCACCAAAATTACTATTCCTTCTCGCACACACGCACGTAAAAGAAGAAGAGACAGAGAGTGTGAACGACTCACGTGCTGAACCTTGTCGGCCGCAAAATTTACAATTCATCACAAAATTCGCAATTCCTCGTGAACCGGCTATTTCATTTTGAGCCTTTTAAATAACAATTGGTGCCTGATATGTAAATTATTAGCGCAACTGAACAAAGGAACTGACCAAAAAAAAAAAAAAAAAAAAAAAAAAATTTAAAGAATGCCTACCAGCTGGCTGACGCCAACCCAATTTTCGTTTGGCTCGTTACAGTGCGTACACTTGACCTAAATGAAAATTAATAAAGAAATTAAGAATTGTGGTGGAAAAAGATACGCGCGATTTCTACCAAAACGACGGTAACCTTAAAGTGCCAAATGTCACCTTCGTCCCCCGGCCCAACGTCAGTTACGTTTTCGAGTTCAGCCTTGAAAAACAGCGCGAGTTTCTTCACGGGAGTGAGAATAACAAAATGAAACTATTTGTCAACATACGGGGTAAACGAATTGAAAAATAAAAAGTTCTAGGTCCATTTATTTACCACCATTTTGTAATGGAAAGCTGGTTTGATGGTTGCTGGTGTGAAAAATGGGAGGAAACATCAGTCCTACCGGAATAACTGTCATAAGGTCTAAAATCATGTGACCAGTCAACGCGTATTTTCAGATGCCGAATTAGCGTGGGAAAACGAATACAGAGGCTTACCATAAATATTTAAGAAAGCTTTTGGTGGATTCTCACGACGACACCACAAAATCTGTCGCTATTATTTTATATAAATATACTGTAGATAGTGGGGAATCTATCGTTGTTGCGGTTGAGCGAGATCGACATCATGTCTGCTTGTTTCGAACAAATCGTTATCATCACTCCTGAATTTGATCATCCGTCCTTCCCCGCTTTCCTCGCGAAACCGGAGCGCGGTGGTCCAGGTCTAATCCTCATCACGGAAAATCTTGACATCACGCAAGAGGTTGAACAAGAGGCCATCATACTTAGTCAAGAAGGATACATCGTATTGGTACCGGACTTATCAGAAATTTCACCAGATGATCAGGAAGAGGTCGTGTTTGCCTACGGAATGGTGAATCATCTTGAACGTATGCCCGAAAAAGTTGGAAAGATTGGAGTCATCGGTCGCGGACGTGGTGCGTCCATGGCTAGGACATCTGCTTCTTCATTGTAGGGATTATTGGAATGTACTTTAATCTTGATAAGTTGCAGGTTTATGATA